TAAAGAGAAATTTTGATCAAAAGAGGTGAAATGTGGAAATAAAAGGAAAAATGAATTGACACAGCCTCTTCTAAATATTTGTTCTGGCTCAGGAATGTGTACATGCAAAGGCAGCTATGTCAGATAAGTGTTACAACCGCCCATAAATAGGCATGTTTTAACTGTAACCCCGGAAATCTTGAAAAACATCTTGAAATGTTTTTTCTATTTCAAGGACCTTAAGAAAACATGTTGTAGATAGACAGGTAGATGATGATGATAGTGTCAGAAGAAAAGAGAAAAGTGCGCCAAGATGGCTGCAGTTTGGACATACGGGTAATAAAACCATAGCCTATTAACTAAGGCTGACCCCTTGTGTATGTGTAACTGGAGTTTGTTAACTATTTTACTAACAGGTACTGGTTGTAAACTTATGTGTCGAATATAGAACAAGGACAGGACGGAATCAATCATCCTTCCGCCAGACCCTGAGATGCCTACACAATTATTAACCTCTCCTATCCACTCAGCCACATTTACCTTACGTGTAACATCACTGAATACCAGTCAAATTGACAGGAATGTAATTGCTGCTTCACTGTACTGCAGGTATCCCCCTGTTTAAAATAATGTATGAATACCGTGCCTCATATACTCTACATTGAAACATAGGTTATAAGCTATTGGAACTTGTGCTTCCTGGGTGCACATCCTCAAGCTTGGCCTAATAAACTTTGTTTGACTGAGATTCAGATTCCTATCTTGGTCTCTCATTTGGGTTGACATACCTACTAGGAGACTGGCATCCTAGATGCTGAATTTATAAAGATGATAAAGACAAGTGAATTCCTAACCCAGTTTTATTTATTTTATTTTTCACTTTTTTTGAGATGGAGTCTTGCTCTGTTGCCCAGGCTGGAGTGCAGTGGTGCGATTTCAGCTCACTGCAACCTCTGCCTCTCGGATTCAAGCAATTCTCCTGTCTCAGCCTCCCAGTTAGCTGGGACTACAGGTGCATGCCACCATGCCTGGCTAATTTTTTTTTTTTTTGTATTGTGAGTAGAGACAGGGTTTCACCGTGTTAGCCAGGTTGGTCTCGATTTTCTGACCTCGTGTTCTGCCCACCTTGGCTTCCCAATACTGGGACTATAGGTGTAGCGCCTGGCCCTTCTTAATTTTAAATATCTAAAAAACAGGCTTACTGAGATCATTCACATACCATAAAATTCACTCACTTATATACCATAATATTCACTCTTATAATGTGTATGATTCAGTGGCTTTTAGTATACTCAGAGTTTTGCAACAATACCACTATTTGATTTTAGAAGACAAATGACAGTTCATAATTAGTATTTTAAGTTTTTCCTGATTTTTGGCTTCATTTCAAAGCTTGCTTTTACTCTTCTTTCCCCCAAACACATGCTTAAGGGTGAGATTGTATGGGGTCTGTTCTCAGCTGTAACTGTTAATCTATTAGAAAGCAGATAGATTACCTTTCTTCTTTAAAACATAGTGCCGAGTGATATGATGCGTATGAGAATAGAGGTAAAAATCACATAAAGTTTCATAGCTGTTGGTGTTATTTGAACAAATAAGATAGATTTTACTGGAGAAATCATTTAATATTGCACAAATGTGATAGGAAAGCAGTATTCTAAAGAACCACTGGGTTGCTTGAAAAAACAAATCTCCAGTTTAAAATCAAGTTATGCCACGCCCACTCACTACTTTATCAAATATATAATGTAACTTGGTTTCACAGGCCATTTTTTGTCCTTGGTTTTCCTCCAGAGATTAAGTAGTGTTTTTGTTGTTTTTTTAAAACATTAATGGGTTTGTAGATTTTTGAAAATACTTTCAGTTGAGATCAGGACTCTCCAAACCTCAAAATGGTTAAACACCAACCACTGCTTAAGTTGGATGCTGTAAACAAAACCCAAAATGAAACCCCTGTGTAGCTGCCGCAGATTCCCAGGTGCCTCTTAAGTGTGGGGATAAGCTCAGAAAAGGCTTAATAGGTTTATTAAGTTGTCATCCATTAAAAGGTTCACATGCTCCTTGTGTGTTGCATAAGGACAGGTGTCTGCCACCTTATTGCATTTCTCACTGAGCATTGCCTAGGAAGAGGGTAAGCCCTAGAATTTAGATCCTTCTCAGGTGTTCAGGCAGAAGAATTTTGTCAGGAGAAAAGTAAGGTCATGGAGCTATATAAAAATGGATTATACATCTTAAAACATCGGCCTATTCTCCCCTATGTTTAAGAATAATATTCTTCAGATGTTGAATGGAATATCTTGCCAGGGGCTGGTGGGTAAGTTTTGTGGAGGTCCTCACCAGCAGAAAAAAATCATTGGCTGATTAAAAAGAAAGCCTCAGTATTTACATCTAACTCTAACATCCTTAACAGCTTGCCAGTGTGGTAACTGGCACAAACTATGGGGTCTTGGTCAAATCCAACCTCAGTGAAGGTAGTTCACATCGTAGAGATGAGCTGAATGCTGATAGCTTTGGGGACTTGTTCATATGGGGAAAGGGAAAGAGATTGTGAGGGTGGAGATAGGAATCTATCTGTCATAATTGGATTTGGTCTGTGTATTAATGGAATGAACTGGCCTTTTTTGCTCTGCTTCTTTTGTCCTTGCTGAGAAGAGACGCTGAAGTTTCCAAGGGCTATGGGTGAAGCTGGAGGGTATTAGAGGAACTGCTCCCTGACCTTCTTGATGGTAATGCAAGCTGTTGGGGGAGTTTGGAGAAGACTGCAGGGCGGTATGCGGATGAGAGCTGTATTACATTTTGCCTTGAAACAGGAATATACAAATTAAAGCAATAACTGCTCTTCGGCTTTTTTGTTTCTGCAATCTTCTGTCATTTGATATTGTTTTTTCCAGAGCAACATGTGACTGTTTTCTTCATGATTTTCTTTTCAGTTATCATACGGGTTTGTTGTTGGATTGAGAAAAAAATATCTGCCTCATTTGAACAGGCCTCTCTAGACCTTTTCTTACTACTGTAGAGGGTACTTCCTCATTTTTCTTCCTCTCAAAGCCATCAAATTCCCAAGCATTCAACTAAAATAATTATCAACTAAAAACAAACAAACAAACAAACAAAAAACAATTCTTAGAGGTAACTGTTTAAATTATTGAAAAGTATCAAGGTTTTCTTCCTTGCCCCATCTCATTCTTTTGCCTGCCTCTCTCACCAGCAAGAACATTGAAGAGGAACGCTATATTAACAATAGCCTGTTTGAAGGGAAGTTTCAGTTTTTAGCTAATTATTTGCTAATAAAAGTTTTAAAAAATATTTTTCTTTAAAAGTTCTAAAACCTCTATTATATTTCAAAATCCCTCGGTATCCAAAAATACACATAAAAAGCCTGGATATTTGGTTAGTTCTGAATCATTTTCATTAATACTGCCTGTAGTATACTAACCAGAATTGGAAAGGAATGGGATCAGACAAGATAATCCAAAGACAAATACAACCATATGCCACACAAGGACGTTTCGGTTAACCACAGACTGCATAAATGATGGTGGTCCCCAAAGATTATGCCATATTTTTTGTACCTTTTCTATATTTAGATGCACAGATTCTTACCATTATATTACAGTTGCCTATGGCATTCAGTACAGTCACATGCTGTATAAGTTTGTTGCCTAGGAACAGTAGGCTATCCCATATAGCCCAGGGATATTGTAGGCTGTTGCCATCTAGGTTTGTGTGAAGACACTCTGATGTTTGCACAAGGATGCCCAGTGATGCATTTCTCAGAATATGTCCCCACTGTTGGCAACACATGACTGTACTGAAGCTTTAGATTTACTTATCTCGGTTTATTTCTAAAACAACTGATAATTTTCTGTGGTTAATGCCTAAAACTATGGGCACTAAATATATTTTCTTTTTATTGTTGCTTTATGTGATAATGTTGTGATAATTTGTAGTTAGAGCCTCAGACAGACACACATCTTCTGGACTTGTCCATTAGAGTTTAGTTTCCATATTCATTGCCTTTTCATCACCTCTCTTAGTCCAGATTTTCTGGTGAAGCTGGCCCTTGATTTGGGTATACCAAATTACTTTTCCTAAGGTACAGATTTACTGCCAGCTACATACTTGCATCAGCCCCAGAGTTGTTTTCTTCCTTCCTTCCTTGATGTTGAGATGTTTTTTTTCTTTGAACAGAAGAACTACAATTTATTTCACTCTACATCTCTGGGACATTTGCCTCCCACTGTGACTACTCTCAGGCATGAAGCCTTGTAGAACAGGTCCAGAAACCTCTAAGACCTAAGGGGCAGATCAGCGATCAGGCAGCATGAGCTCATTCTTTGTCTTCATGATTTATGGAATTATTATTATTAAATTCTAACCTTGGATTTTTGTAAATTTTACATCTTCCTTTCAGCAGTTTCAATTCAGGGCCAAACTTGGCTGCTTAGAACTTCCCACTTATCACAGAAGAAATCCCCTCTGAATTCCCGTTAGGCAGAGTGGTATGGCTGATGCATAGTGAGCTAGTTGTGTGCTTAGTATCAAATAGCGGTCATGGTAAATGCTCAAAACTTCCCCAGAGGAGAATCACATTAATGCAAAGGTGCAAAATAAAAAGGTGTGTCTTAAATTTTAGGATGCATCCTTGATTGTGTATGACTTCATTATTTTACAGGATTGTTTGTACAATTTACAGGATTGAAATGTTTTAAGCATTTCATACTTAAAAACCTGATTTAAAAAATGCTCCTCCTCTTCCCCATTTTTAGAGTGAGTTTGTTAGGAGAGTCAGGAGGTGGTAGAGTCCTCCTTAAATAACTAAGCCTTTCTTTTTTGTTTTATACACTTGCCATGCTAGTGCCAAGAATGGAGGTAGATCCAGGAGGTCTTCCCCTGAGCTGCCTGTCTGGCTTGGTCATATAACACCATGTGACTTGGGGGTGGGGTGGAGCACAGAGAACTCTTTAATGGTTCCTTGTTACAGCCCTCAACAAAGATGTGTCATTCCCTTGGCTTTACAGACTGTTGCCCAGAAGAAAAGATGTTTGGTTTTCACAAGCCAAAGATGTACCGAAGTATAGAGGGCTGCTGTATTTGCAGAGCTAAGTCCTCCAGTTCTCGATTCACTGACAGTAAACGCTATGAAAAGGACTTCCAGAGCTGTTTTGGGTAAGATCACCTGATGTTTGTACTATTCTTAGAGTGAAAAAATACCACACACAGCCTACGGAAATATTTGTAAGCAAGGTGATTGGAACAATTTGCTATTAATTAAAATCATTTATTCTAATCTAGGCTATTTAAGTCACCTGCTATATAAATGAATCAGACAATACCAACAGTCTACTTTTTTCCAGATTATGAGGAGCTACCACGTTAATTGTGAAGCCCCTTACAGTTGTAGCTAGACAAACCCTTTTGTTGTTGTCTTCCTTTTGTGGTTAATTTTTAAAAATGCTTTTAAAGAAATTACCCTTGACTAGGTGCAGTGGCTCATGCCAGTAATCCCAGCACTTAGAGAGACTGAGACAGATGGATCACCTGAGCTCAGGAGCTGGAGACCAGCCTGGGCAACATGGCAAAACCCATCTCTACAAAAAATACAAACAAACAAACAAAAAACTTGCTGGACGTGGTAGTTTGTGCTTGTAATCCTAGCTACTCTGGAGGCTGAAGTGAGAAGATCCACCTGAGCCTGGGAGGTTGAGGAAATGAAAATATTAAAATAAAAATAAAATTTAAAAAGGCATGGTTGGCACAGACCTTTTTGACAACCTTCATAATAGTTACAAAGTCCAGGATTAACAATAAATGATCAACAAATGTTTGATAAGAAAAAGTGATGAAAGTAATTTCTAACATGGGAAATCATTCTTTTTTTTCTTTTTTTTTTAAGTTTTTTTTTAATAGAGACAGGGTTTCACCATGTTGGTCAGGCTGCTCTTGAACTCCCAGCCTCAGGTGATCTGACTGCCTCAGCCTCCCCAAGTGCTGGGATTAGAGGCGTGAGCCACCATGCCCGGCCCTTTTTTTTCTTTTTTAAAGAGACAGTCATCCTGTGTTGTGTAGGCTGGGGTGCAGTAGCTGTTCACAGGTGTGATCATTTTGCATGACGGCCTTGAACTTTTGGACTCAAATGGTCCTTTTGTCTGAGCCTCCCGAGTAGCTGAGACTATGGGTGTGCACCACCTTACCCAGTCATACGGTCGTTTGTTCATTTGTTTGAGACAGAAACTCACTCTGTCACCCAGGCTGAAGTGCAATGTCACTATCATGGCTCACTGAAGCCTTGACCTCACTTGCCTCAGGTGATCCTCCTACCTCAACCTCCTGAGGAACTGGGACTACAGACATGGACTACCATTCCCTGCTAATTTTTCTATTTTTTTGTAGAGACAGGATTTTGCCATGTTGCCCAGGCTGATCTCATCCTCCCGGCTGCCTCAGCCTCCCAAAGCACTGGGATTACAGGCATAAGCCACCTCATCTGGCCATATTCATTTTTTAAAACTATAATGCCTCTCTGGTTTTGTTTGCTGTGAAACTGGAATATTATGGCACATTATTTTACTTGTCAAGGGGTAGTATTTTGATACTTTTGAAATATCTACTCAGGCTGGGTGCGGTGGCTTGCACCTGTAATCCCAGCACTTTGGGAAGCCAAGGTGGACAGATCGGTTGAGCCAGGAGTTGAAGACCAGCCTTGGGCAGCATGGTAAAACCCTGTCTCCACAAAAAATAGAAAAATTAGCCAGGTATGGTGGTATGTGCCTGTGGTCCCAGCTACTAGGGAGGCTGAGGTGGGAGGATCACTTGAGCCTGGGAGGTTGAGGCTGCAGTGAGCCATAATCCCACCCGTACTCCAGCCTGGGCAACAGAGTGAGATTTTGTTCACCCCCACACCCCCACCTAAAAAGAAATGTATTTACACATTTCAAGAAAGATTAATTAAACAGCATCGTTTAAAAGCATGATAATCAGAATCTCTTCTAGGTCTTGAGTTTTACTCTTTAATTTTAAAAGCAGTTTTTAAATTAAAAGTAAAAAAAAAATTTTAAAGTAGAGATGGGGTCTCCTTGTATTGCCCAGGATGGTCTTGAACTCCTTCGCTCAAGCGATCTTCCCGCCTTGGTCTTCAGTTGTGCTGAGATTACAGGCGTGAGCCACCGCACCAGCCTATTTAACTTATTTTTTTTTTGAGATGGAGTCTTTCTCTTGTTGTCTGGGCTGGAGTGCAGTGGTGTGATGATCTTAGCTCACTGCGATCTCTGCTTCCTGGGTTCAAGCGATTCCCCTGCCTAAGCCTCTCAAGTAGCTGGAATTACAGGCATGAGCCACCACCTAATTTTTGTAGTTTTAGTAGAGATAGGGTTTCATCATGTTGGCCAGGCTGGTCTCGAACTCCTGACCTCAAGTAGCCACCCGCCTCAGCCTCTAAAGTGCTGGGATTACAGGTGTGAGCCACCGCACCTATCCTGACCTATTTAATTTTAAAAGCATTTCTCATTTCAAAATAACCAAATTGCAGTACATGGAATAGGTTTGTTGGATCTAGAAGTTAACTTTATTTCTGAAATATACTATAGAAACAAATATACTATAGAATATACTATAGAAATATTCTATAGAAAACTATAGAAACAGAATCATCCAGGATGATTAAACTGTATCTGTAAACCATATATAGATACAGTTTTTTTTTCCCAAAAGAAATGTGCTTTCATGAATTCTTTTTTTTTTTTTTTACTTGATACATACAACTATTTATTGAATCTCTGCTATATAGTAGATATTATTTCTGGTGCAAGAGACGTATTAATGAACAAAAAAGGGAAAAAATCTTTTTTGGTGCTTACATAGTCTTCTTCCTAGATTTCTGAAAATTTCCTCTACTGATTTTCTTCAGTTACTCCCCTTCCTGCAAACATTTTTTTTTAAATTGCATTTTAGGAAGGCATGAATTCTTTAAGGTAAGGGAGACTGATAAAGATTTGATTGTTTTCTTATCAGATTGCATGAGACGCGTTCAGGAGACATCTGCAATGCCTGTGTCCTGCTTGTGAAAAGATGGAAGAAGTTGCCAGCAGGATCAAAAAAAAACTGGAATCACGTTAGTCCATCTTTCTTTTTTCTCATTTATATCTATTATATTTAAAGTAACATTAATTTCCCCTAATTTAGGAAATAATATATCCCTAGGGTAGAAAAGTCTGGAAAGTTTAAAGAAAAATACTAGCTGCTGCTCAGATATAATTGCCTAACATTTTGGCATCTTTAGAACAGAATAGCCTGTTGTGGCATTTCCTTAAGGCTGTATCCAATACCCCCCTTTTGGAGATTCACAGTAAGCATTCACATATTTTTAGGCTTAACCCAGTAATTCCCAGAGTTAATTAGATATGAGTCCTTTTTCTTAAATCTCTTTGTATAACATGATCCTTTGAACTCAGGTTGGTACTAATGAGCACATAGGTTTTAGAATCAGACTTGGATTTGAATTTTGCCTTTATACTAGTTGTGTACTTTGAGCAGTTCACATTTATTTATGAAGTGCAAAGATAATAGCTATCTTACAGAGCAATTGTGAGAACTGAATGAGATATATAGAAAGTATAACACATAGTTATTCACACTAGCCTTACATTGTCCTTTGATGATAGCATTGTTGCTATAACAGTGAAGATGATAACAACCTTCCTTTTTCATGGGGTAGAGATCTGCATATAATAAATGTAAATGAATACCTAAGAAATAGCATCATATGGGCTGAAAGCAATGGCTGGGCTAGACTGTGGGAGAACATGCTATTGCCGTCATGTAACTCACCTCAGAGATTAAAGTGTATAGTGAAAAAACAAAGAATAGACCTGAAGACCTTGGTTCTAGTTTTTTTCCCCTTTCTACCACCTTACCCATTTACTCACTTGGTGAAATAAGGCAAAATGCATAATTTATCTTTGCCTTGTTTTCCTTCAGTCTAAAATTGGAGTAACAAAAATAGCCCCTTTACTGCTTTGTACTGAAGATAAAAAATATAGGAAAGCTTTTTGTAAACTGCAAAACATTATCCTGTAGAAATGGAATTGTTTTTAGGCTTGATTCTTAACCTGGTTGGGTCATCCATTAATGATTATCCCATATACAAATCTATTTAAATTTTTTTCCAACAGACTCCCACTATTGCCCACTTTACAGGAAGAATATTTTTGAAAACTTCACTAGATAAATAATATTTATTCGTTTATTTCATGTGATGATTAAAGATGCACATGGAGCCTCATCCTCTTTAGTATAAAACTTTGGTTCTCAAATAGGCATGGATCTGAACGAAAGGGGGATACCCTGGTATCCTTTTAAAAATATTATTAAATATTCAGTATTTTCTTCCAGGTGGTAGATGCAAGGGCTGGACCCAGTCTAAAGACTACATTGAAACCAAAGAAAGTGAAAACTCTATCTGGGAACAGGATAAAAAGCAACCAGATCAGTAAACTGCAGAAGGAATTTAAACGTCATAGTAAGTTTGATATTCAAACATTAGTGCTTAATAATTTTTTTTGGTTGGGATGGTGTGTGGCATGTGTGGATCATTTTTTCCTTTATTGCTTTTTATAAAGAGCACTGGAAGGCAATGTTGACTCGGTGGAGATGTTATCTTATTTCTATGAAATCTTGGCACTCTTTATGATTTGATGTCTTAAGAGTATTTCCACTAGCTAACCACTTGAGATTGTACTGAGACCACTCTGATGTCTTTATTTACATCTTAATTTTCTAGAAGATGCATTTCTAGCTGGTTTACTTGATTTTTATCTATAAGGAAATTGAGTCCTAGAGATGTGCAAGAAGGTATGTAAATAATTAGAGGACAATCTGAGACCAAAGTCCAGGTTTTCTGGAAAATAACTTTAGAAATCATAACTCACATATTGAAATAAAGCTAGCCTCAGGGTTTGCTTTCAGGTTTAAGGAGCAGAGTGTGTTGTGTGATAAAATGAGAAGAGAATGTCTAATTAGTGTCAGGTCGCATGCTATTATTGGAAGTTTTTTTTTTTGGGGGGGGTTGCCATAGTGGCACATCTGTATTTTGGAATTGAGATTTTGGATTTTGAAAAGGAAATACACTGCATATAATGTTATTATATATTAATATCTCTATCACCCTTGGGAGGGTTTGAAGGAGCATTATTGAACCAAACACATTAGTATTTTTACAGCAAAAAGTAGCAGTATTCACATTTAGTGGAATAAGTACATGGTATATAGACTGTCCAGGTTTGTCTTCTTAATAATCATAGTTTAGGTCATGCCACATTTTGTGGCCAGATAGCTTAGGAATACACTTTCTGTTTTCAGAGCTTTCTCAGAATTGTGGCTAGGGATTGTAGACCTGCATTGAAGCTCTCAGTACTTTTAAAAACTCTATATAGGACCCTGTTAGAGAAAACATTATCAATTAAGACAAATGGTTATCATGCTTGTTTAAGAATAGTGGAAAAAGACATCTAAGTTTAGTGACGGTAAAGTGAGGAGTGCAGGAGAGCTTACATATCTTTTGAACATTTTGGTATACAAAGCACTTTACATATGTAATGATCTCTGTTACATCCATCTGAGAGCTTGGAATAGGAAGCACAAAGGGGTGATTTAACCTTGATATGGGTCACTTAATAAGTGGTAGATATGTAGTAAAATATTTAGGTAAAAATGTAAGTGTGTGTCTCTTTGTATTTTAGTTATACCAGCTCTCAAGCCCTCATCCTCCCTAAAGTTTAACTCTACCTTCCATTATTGTCATTAGATGTATGTTTCCTTCCTCCCTCCCTCCCTCCCTTCCTTCCTCCCTCCCTCCCTCCCTCCCTTCCTTCCTCCCTTCCTCCCTCCCTCCCTTCCTTCCTTCCTTCCTTCCTCTCTTTCTTTCCCTTTTTTTTTTTTTTTTTGAGATGGAGTTTCGCTCTTGTTACCCAGGCTGGAGTGCAATGGCGCGATCTCGGCTCACCGCAACCTCCGCCTCCTGGGTTCAGGCAATTCTCCTGCCTCAGCCTCCTGAGTAGCTGGGATTACAGGCACGCGCCACCATGCCCAGCTAATTTTTTGTATTTTTAGTAGAGACGGGTTTTCACCGTGTTGACCAGGATGGTCTCGATCTCTTGACCTCGTGATCCACCCGCCTCGGCCTCCCAAAGTGCTGGGATTACAGGCGTGAGGCACCGCGCCCGGCCTCTTTCCCTTTTTTTTAAGAAGGGCCTTGTTCTGTCTCCCAGGCTGTATTATGGTGGCATGATCTTGGGTCACTGCAACCTCTGCCTCTCAGGTACAAGCGATTCTTGTGCCTCAGCCTCCTTAATAGCTGAGACCACAAGCGTGCACCACAATGCCTGGCTAAATTTTGTATTTTTAGTGGAGCTGGGGTTTTGCCATGTTGCCCAGGCTGGTCTCAAACTTAGCTCAAGCAATCCTCTTGCCTAAGCCTCCCAAAAGTGCTGGAATTACAAGTGTGAATCATCACGCCCGGTCCTCACTACTAGATGCTATAATGAAAATTTAGGAAACGTTAATTTTCTTTTATTACTTGAAGATGGAGGAATTGATTATGCATATGTATATCCTTAGCTATTTCCCTTAATTATAGGGAAAGTGATATCTAACTTTTACCTTACTTAAGGGAATATATCCAGTGTAATTTTAGATTTTTATTGTGAAACTGTGCTGTATAGTAGTTGGAGACTGAAAATAAATCCCTTTGATAATAAGATGTGTAGATTGTGCAGGCTTAAACTGAAACAGGGCGTTCCCCAGTTACATTATAAATTGCTATTACCTGTGTGTATTGAAGCAGTTGGAAGATGTGCATTTTTATATATCTCCCACGGAATGGTCTGTGCTTCTGGTTGTGTGTTTGCTTCTGTGCATCCTGTACAGACCTGGCCTGTATTCTCTTTTCTTAGCTTTTTTTTTTTTTTGAGATGGAGTCTTGCTCTGTCACCCAGGCTGGAGTGTAATGGCACGATCGCAGCTCACTGCAACCTCTGCCTTCTGGATTCAAGTGATTCTCCTGTCTCAGACGCCTGAGTAGCTGGGATTACAGCACACGCCACCATGGCTGGCTAAGTTTTGTATTTTTAGTAGTGACGGGGTTTTGCCATGTTGTCCAGGCTGGTGTCGAACTCTTGACCTCAGGTGATCCACCCTCCTTGGCATCCTGAAGTGCTGGGATTACAGACATGAGCCACTGCGCCCAGCCCTGTATTGTGTTTTCAAGACGTTTCATGGTATAATACTAGAAAGGTACTGTGACTAGAGTTATAGATCTGAATTTGAATTTTGGCTCTTGTCACTAGCAAACGTGTGAGTCTGGAGTCACTTGATGTTTAACCATAATTTTCCATTCAGAGAAATGGGGGTAATCAAGTAAAAAATAGCTTTGTAAAACAAAATACATTCCTATATAAATGTTAGCTATTCTTTTTGTGTCATCCTTTCCAAAAATTTGCAATGATTTCTGCTTGCTAGAAAATATAGTTGAGAATTCCTAGAAAGTGTTTGAAGGTCCTATTTTTGTTTGAGCTGAGTCAGTTTCTGGAATGTGTTGGGCTTCCACAACTTTACTCGTTTACTTTGCTCATTGTCCCTACTGACTTGATGCCATCTAATCACTCCTTTGTACCTTCCAAATCTTAGGTAATTTTTAAGACTTAAAATTGCAGTTTGAAGAATTTCCAGATCCACATTCTAGAAGAGTTCTTCCATACTGTGTTTGTATGTAGTTAGTTGTAGATATCTTAGTATTTCGGGTATTTGATGAAACCATATGAAATCACATTTTTACAGATAAAAAATGGTCAGATAATTGAAATTTCAAATAGCTTAAAGATATTAAGCACTTCCTAGGAGAGTGGGTTTTCCTCAGCAGCATAGAGCTGTCTGCTGATGTTAAATTATTTAGGAAGTCTTAAACATCCCATTAGACTTACTTCTTTAAAGCCTGCTACTCTTGAGGATTTTGTTTGCTAAATTAACGTATTAAAAATACTACTGGTGCTTTCTTTGTTTTAGATACTTAATTTTATGCTGTTTTATGTAAATATTTGTTAATGTAAAATAATTGTGAGCTCTATTCAAGAAACGTTTTCTTGGCTGGGTATGGTGGCTCACACGTGTAATCCCAGCACCTTGGTAGGCCAGGAGTTCAAGACCAGTCTGGTGAATATGGCGAAACCTTGTCTACGAAAAATACAAAAAAATTATTTGGTTGTGGTGGTGGACACCTGTAGTAGTAGCTACTCAAGAAGCTAAGGCATGAAAATCAAGAGGTGGAGGCTGCAGCCAGCTGTGGTCGTGCCACTGCACTCCAGCTTGGGTGATACAAAGTAAGATCTGGTCTCAAGGAAACCCAAAAAAAACCTAAAAAAAACCCCAAAGTTTTCTTTAGTCTGTTTCTTTCCATGCAGCAAATAACATAGGATTTGATGCCTTATAAATATTTAATAAGTACTTGATTGGTTATTTGAATTGAAGGATTGTCCTGTCCACCTGTCTTGAGATAGAAAGGTGTATGGTAGGCTCCACCTGTGTTTATGAGGTTTATTATAGTGCTATTGCTGTGATGTGGCAGAACCACAGCCTTGTAGCACAATGACCGTTAACCAAGAAACTTATTTTCTGGCTTAAATGTTTTTATGAAGTCTTCTTCATAATAAATGGGCAAAGTATTAAATCAGGGTTAGCTCTGCATCTAATGAACTGCCTTTATTCCTTATTAAATCAGGATCTTTTGTTTTCCCTTTATGGATACAATGTCATTATGCTTTGGCTACTTTCAAGATTTTTCTCTTGGTTTAGCTTTTAGAGGTTTAATTGTGATGTGTTTTGGCATGGATTTCTTTGGGTTTATCCTGTTTGGGCTTTGGTCAGGTTTTTGAATCTTACTTAAGTTTATGTCTCGCCAAATTTGACAAGTTTTCAGCCACTATATTTGAGTACTTTTTCACCTCCGTTCTTTTTTTCCTCTCCCTCCAGGACTGCAATGGCATGAATGTAGATGTATGTCTGATTAAGCTCCACAGGTTTCTCATGCTCTGTTCATTTGTTTTGTTTTGTTTTGTTTTTTTTTTTTTGGAGACAGAGTTTCACTCATGTTACCCAGGCTGGAGTGCAATGGCGCGATCTCAGCTCACCGCAACCTCCGCCTCCTGGGTTCAGGCAATTCTCCTGCCTCAGCCTCCTGAGTAGCTGGGATTACAGGCACGCACCACCATGCCCAGCTACTCAGGAGGCTGAGGCAGGAGAATTGCCC